ACGTCTTAAATTCGTTTTGCTCATTTTTTTCCATGAAACGCCAAGTCACGTTTTCAACGCTACGTTTTACGTGGCCATTTCGTAAAGTCGCGGGGTACGGTCACGAGGATGGGTAGAGGGAGAGGGGCTTAAATGTTGGCTCCTGGATGAATATGTTTATGATCTTGGCTCGCGAAACGCCCGGAAACACGACGGCGGAGAGGGACTGACAAAGCTGCGCTGCTTACCCTTGAATCGTTGCTCTTTCATATTTATTCTCTCGTGTCGGACAAGAGCTTTTAGAGAACGTCATTTGGAAAAAAACGATGGTACGGTCGCCAGCGCGGCGAATTTTCCAGTTGCTTCGTTGCCTCGCCTCGGAATTCGAGAATTTAGCGGCGGAGGAGTGTTTGCCACCACTTTTACTGTCTGGCGTTTGAAACGAAAACGTTCATTTTGGGAAAACTTGTATTACACTCGGTGTCTGATGTCTTACGAATTAGTTTGAAACCAGATAGTAATTCGCTGCATTCATCGTATAGAAATTAATTTACTGCAGAATTGATTTTTATCACTTTTCTTTTTTATCGATCACTTTTTATTATCAAAATAATAACCTAGATTACACGTCCGTATCAAATCTTGGCACGCAAGGCAAAACGCTTTAAATTTGCCTGACAGTGAATGGGTTAACCATACATAGCGTGTAACATCGTTGCTCCTTGCATCGTCACTCCTCGGTGGCTAACAGCTCCACGCGGCGCAGCTAATCCAATGAACCGTGTCCCGAACGGAAGCGTCGTCGTATTTTCACAGCAAGTGTCCCAAAGTGCCGAGGTTCTCCTTTGTGTCGATGGAGCGTGATCGGAAGTGCGATCCACGTGAACTTTTCGCAAGCACAGTTGGCTGTCTGGTTGGCTGCTGTGGGTCTGCTGTTGCTGTTTACGTTACGCGTTAAACCCTCTCGCGCCCGCCGTTAAACCCGAATCACCCGAAGCCGCACATCGGCAGCTAAAGCCCCATAAGCACCGTTACACACCCCTGCCACGTACTGTCAAAATTACTGACACCTACACGGTGTCCCCTGAAAATTTGTTTATATCGCAGGCCAGTGGTTTCCTATAGGAATACGTAAATTCAGCTAATAAGGACTTTTGACATATGTTTCCGTACTGCGGCAGGGTGATCTGTCGACCTTATGCGTGTTTGAAAGAGTACCAAATATTATTCCTGGTACGTTGTCTGAACTTAGAATTAATTCTTAACTCTCTACACATCCTGATTAGTTAATGAGAAGAAAACAAACCTATTATATTCCAAAATGAAGCAGGTAACAATTTTCTTGCAATTAATATTTCTTGTCCACAAATGCTATTATCAGTATTCATCGTGAGAAATATTTGAAAAGACGGTGAATTAGAAGAATTTCCAAGTTAGATTTAGTCGAATTAAACATCGTTTGTTTGTAAGCCTACTTTTATTTCTCGGGTCAACTACGACTCAGTGATGGTAGTTGGAGATTATGCTCCCCTAGAGATCAAGGAACTGGTCGGTTGCTTCCAAGCATGTTTGACCATTGCCATGAGTAAATGAGCTATTCGGTTGTCCCTAACATCTTACTGTACGCGCACACGCACATGTAAACACGATTCGCCATGCAGAGCTTTAGCTGTGGCGGGGATTTCCACGTTGCGCAGCGAAGATACGACGCTGGAACGCTTAGATAGCTCGTGTTTCCTTTGTTTGGGCCGTTTCTCGCTCTTTTGTGTCGCTGCGTGCCATTCCACCCTCTTCTTTCAACCCTCGCGATTTCGGAGCACCGTTGGCGCTTGGCTGTTCTTCTCACGTTAGGCCCCCACCCCAACCCCCATCCCTTACGCTTCGATAATTCCCTAACCTCTCTCGATTCGGTTTTCGAGCCGTGAGTTCATTCCCGTAACGTAATTCAGTCGAAGGTCTGACGAAACCAGGAATGGTAAGTAGCTGTCGTCGAGTCGACGTGTATGTTAATGCGGAAGCGCAAAGATATTGCGGCTTTGCGGGCCGCCTGTGATCTCGGAACTCTGTGTGCGCGGTGGTTTGCCAGCGACGCGCTCGCAACCAGGGTTATTAACACACCAGGGTGCAGCGTCAATTTAGTCCTCTTGAAGTGATTCATGAATACTGAATTTTCCACAGATGAGTGTGAACAGGGTGACGAGTCGATTTGTAATTATTGTAGAAAAATCATTGCATGGATCAATCGAATTCGTGACAAAAGATCCATACTGATCTTTTGTCCACGTGAAACATGTGTATGGTTTTCTTCCCAAAGGTAATAACCCAAACGAAAATCATATGTAATTATACGTACCATAAATCAGTATGATAATATTATTTCATTTCGCATGAATGGCTACGTTCTGCATACGTTTTGCATACCTTCTTCATGCACGTATACCGCATAAATGCATAAAATTTACAGTCTAGTTATAACAAATGAAGTTCGAATCGAGATTGACAAACGTTGATCTGGGTTATTTTGCACTCTATTGGTATTCAAATTGTTCTATCGACATCATCGCCCGGTCGATGGAACAGTCAGCAGTTTTTTAAAAACCAGAGGTACGATTTAGTAGATGCATTTAACGAGTGGCATAGTTGAACGAAGATGGCAGCGTTTCACTCTAGCATCCGACAATGAGATATTAACCGTTCTATGGGTTTAGTCGAGTCACGCTGAAGTATTTATGCGCGAGAAGAGAAAAGAAATGAAGGTAAAATATATCTTTACCGAGCATTAAAGCTGACGTTGATGTAGAGGCATAAGGATAAAGGGTTGCAAAAAGATTCGGTAGACGAGGCATTAGCAAAACTGTGCATTCTCAGAAGCAAACCCACAACTTGAACACGGAAATTTAATGGTACGCGTGGTAATTAAACATTTAAAAATGTGACAGGGGACAACTTGAGCTGATGTTTCATTTAGATTTTAATTCCCCTAACGTTGGTCATTTCTACAGTAATTTTCTAATCCATGCATTCAAAAGAATACAGAGAAATTATGTATGATATTTAGTTTTCTTTACAATTTTATCATGTGTATTATTATCGTCATTTTTTTAAAGACTTCTCCAATTTCATTACGGATACCTTAATAAACTAATTTAAATTTAGAGTTGATTAACGTCCATATAACTTAATTAAAAGTTCAATTACTCGATGAAGTTTAAGAATGTTTCACTCCTTTTCAATTTTCCACCTAGTTGAGTCCGCTGCAATTTTTCGCGAACGGCTCATCGCGACGTGACTATCGATTATTCCCGTCAGCATTTCGATATGAGAATGTTTCATTAACTGCGCAGCGATCACGCTGCAATTAATGAGTCTGAAACTATTCGAGGCTAGCGTTACTGACAGTTACTTCATAAACGTTTATTATCACAATTGTAATTAGTCATTATTACAAAACCCTGAATTGTCACATTCGCTGCAATTAAATATTTTTAATTAACCATGTACACCGTATGCAAACTGTTATAATGAAGCTACGCTCATTCGTTACTAACTTTCGATGAGATGAATTCAAAATAATACATGCTAACTCAACGTTCTATACCTTTAAAGTGTTTTTCCTTGGGCGCCAAGATTTAATACAGATTTGTAATTTAGGTTATTATATAGGTTATAAAAAGTAGTACCAAATTTGTTGTTTTAAAAAGAAACTTTACAATCTTCGTTTGCAACAATTACACAAAAGGCTACACAAAAGGCTATAAACTTATCTCTTGAGTAATTGCGATCACTTTAAACTGCGAGTGAATTGGTTAAAGCGAAATTCATGCCTCGATGAAAGAAGTTATTTAATAAGAGACTAACTATTTTATCTTATCTTCATGTGGACTCTACGAAACAACAGTTATATTTAGAAATTATATTCAGAAAAAAGTAACTACTAAAAATAGGAATCTCAATCCAAAGATCGTGAACGTGTCAATCATCGAGGGTCAGAATGAGTCGCGTCGACTGACTTCTGAATTGCGCACACAATAACCGCAAAGTGAACCTAAGTGCAGTAAAGAAACTACCTTTTTCACCGAGCATTCTCCGGTCGTAAACAACTCGCTACCGACCTCGCAACACGTTCTTTTCTTTCACACTAAAAACCAGCTCTGAAATTATTCTCGCCCCTGAAACGCTTCATCGCGTTCCTTCCACTGCGCGTACATACATGCATACATAACGTGGCGTCAGAATGTTTGTTCCAGAGCCCTGGGACCTCTTTGAGAGGGGTGGAGGGGCAGAAGTATCGCGAAAAGACGCGGCCAGGAGACGGCAGAAAAGTTTTCGCGAGAGCGGCCAGGAACATGAAAGTTTTGTAGCACTCTCTCGCTACGACTTTCCTGAAGCGTCGCGATCGCGGTTCCCTGTTGTTTTTTTTTCGGTTTTGTTTTTTGTCTCGCGGGTGAGCTTTCGCGAGGGCTTCCGGGAGCTTTTCGCTTCGAAAAGTCAGTAGGAAATCAGCCGAATCCGCTAGAAACAGCTAGGACACTGTCTGAAGTTACTAAATATTTATTAGGTTGGTACATATGGAATGTTTACTGTTTAATGAACTTTATGTTTTGCATTTTTGAAGTATTGCATATTTGATCGAAGTAATTTCCAAGTGATCGTATGTTGTATAGTGTCGTAAACTATTGACTTTTAAGTATGCCAAGCCGAGGAAAAATAGTATTTATATTGTTTTCAGTGAAATGTAGATCTTATCGGAGTCCTAAAAGTCCCTTTAGAAAATCCTTTAGTTATTTACGTTCTACACAGAGGCTTAAGGTGACATTAACACGATCTTTTCGGTTTCCCTCTTCTTTCTCTCGTTCGCCAAGCTCGCGGATTAAAATATCGACGACACAAGCCACGCCTGAATAATTCAGGACGAAAGTTTCAACCGCGAAAGCTTTGGCCAGCTTCGTCGCGAATCCCGTGCTTGCGTGCCGTCAGCTATACGCTGTTTGAAAACGATCGAATTTCGCTTTGTGTTGCAGGATTCGCGCTGATGAGGATCGTCGAGGTCTACAAGGAGATCCAGGAGCAGGAAATGAATATCGTGAGTACCTTCGATTCACGTTGCGCTCGATTGCGTTTATTTGCGAGACTTTCGCGAGATGCACAGCTTTTTCAATCGTGTGTATTCGGAAAAGCTTTTTCAGAATACTGTTTCTAATCATTGTTAGTATTTTGTTTCGTGTCGAGATTTATTAATGTTCACAATTCTTAGTTCATTTATTTTGCCAATTAAAGTAGGAGGTAGTGCGAACCTTTTTATTTAATTTTCGGTTCATGTCTTGTAGAGTATAGAAAAATATGATTTAGTATTCGAAAAATTGTAAAACAGTATTTATATTTATTTGTTTTAATGGATCAATATAATCAGATAGAAATAGTAGACTCAGAATATTGAGGATGATAGAATAATCGTTTGTATAATATTTTTGGTACGAATGAATAAATATTTTCTTGAGTGAGTAATACATAATTTTATAACCATTTCATAATTCACGAACTCCATCAAGACTTATTTTCTCCATCTCACTTCAAGAATGAACTTACTTATCGGCTCAATGAAAAGTCAAAAGTGTTAAAGGTCGCCACTAGGGTATCATACAATCCGTCCAGGGGTGAAATAAATCTTCCCTACTTCCGCATTCCGTTATTTTCCCACCACCCATGTAGATTTGCCCCGGATAAATTGCATCGAGTACCGCGGCGATCCCTCGAAATCAAACCTGAATACTTCATAAGAACGATCCACAGTGGGGAGGGGGAGGGGAGGGGGTAGACATTCGTAACGAGGTCGGAGGTGGCCAATGCCAAGGAAGATGTCAAGGAGCACCGGGAATAAATCGTCCCCCGGCGAGTAGCGGCCTGTTCGCGTTCGAATTATTTAAATAAACGACCACAGCCGACGCAATTAAAGGCGGAGAAGATTTATGCGGGCCGCGCGAGAAACCGAAATTCAACGGGGATGGCGTGTTCGGCGACGGAAGTTCCAGCCCCGGTGGAATATTAATTGGAAAGTTAAAAGAGAGTTTTGGTCATTTACCGCGTCCCTGTATCTCGGTTCCACCTTTTCCCTAATCACTAACTTCGTTCTCCCTTTATCTCGATCCCCGTCTCGTATACGACTTTCCTCGTCTCTTTTTCTATCCGTCGTCTAGAAACACATGAAAATCTCTTTGATCCTTGGGCCGCGACCCTCTGTTGCCTCGGGGGTGAGATTACGCACCTGCAGACGTCTCTTTTGAGGGTGAAAATTCGTTCCAACCGTAACGACATGTTATTACGACTTCGCCCCGCGGACAGCGACGATACCGACCGTGTTTTCAGAATTCCATCTCGTGAAGGAGCATCTGCTGGTTTAGGTACGACACGGCGAAGTTTAAGAGGCTTCAGACGTTGGATGGTTAATTGGGATATTTTATTTCGGTGGTGGTTTCTTTGAGGTTCTACTTCTCACATGTCGCAGGTTTGTTTGAGCAATATAGAGAAGGACCTTCTGAAGTTCTCGTTTAAAAGCAGAAATAACTTCCTGTATATTTTGGGAATATATCTCAACCCTTTACGGTCGTATATCTGCTCTCAGCCACCACAGCAGAGAACCATACTAATCTTATATTGTATTCCGCAGACTAGAAAGAATTAACCCATTAGGCAATGTTAGTGTGATAATAGATTAATAGAAAGCGAGTTAAAATATGTGATAAAAATGTTAGTAATTATAAGTTATACAACAAGATATGAATCAGTGGGTGAAATATCTACATGTTAAATTTAGACTTCACATTTATGTAGTTTCTAATTCGAAACATCTTCATTAGCTATAATCACTACCTTTCGATTATTTTTTCCACCAACTTCACTCGCTGCTAAGCGACACATCCCTTCCATTTGTTAACTGCAACGATCGAGGTACCGACGCAACAATCGAACCCGCTATAGTCGAAGTTCAACTCTACTCAATCCCCACCCCACACGACCTTACAATTTCATTTTCAGTTTAACAACTCCCAGCAAAATCAGAACAATGCCCCAACAACGAGATCGTGCCTTGAACCTGTTTATCCTTACGCTCGCACCCCTACCTATCGAAATACATATTCCTTTCGCGTGATCCTGTTCTCCTTCGCGGAGAATATTCCCAAACAATGATCCCCAGGCCGTTATGAACGATCCTCCGTTGCACCGAATCGTCGCTGGCATCGTTTTCAGCGAACGTTAAAGTCTCCCCGAAGATTGAGCCCCTTTGATCCCCCCCTGGAGGTTGGGGCAACGCGTCTTTCGAAGCGAACGAAGAACAATGTTTCCGACAATAAGGGAGGGCCGTTATTGCGCGAGAGTTCTCGCAGAATTGCGGCCACCGCGTCGAGTAAATCCATACTTTGCCGGGACGACTACCGGAAACCGCTCGACTGGGACCGCGGACCATTCTAGGATTCAACCAGCTAATTGTTTCTTACGTGACCGTAGTCGATAACTTTCGCCACTGACACCCGGTAAGTAATTGGCTACTTCGACGATCTCCAATTCCCGCAGGTTTTATGGCTCCGGGAAGTCACCATTCTCCGAATCAGGGGATATCGAATGATACACTGTTTGCTTCTTTTTCTGCTGGAGAGACTTTGATACTTAAATACGTAGAATTTTTATTTGATCCCTAGGGTAAAAAATTATCCTTGAATTCTGAGGACAGAGGAGATAGGATTGTCGATTGACACGCAAGAGGATCATACGAGTAGAGAGGTAAATTAAATTTATTTGTGGAGTATTGTACTTGATAGTTGTGCTAAGAAAAATGTTTGTAACTCATAATATTTTCTTAGAGTTAGGATTAGATATACTGAAAGAGTAAAATTAAAAGTAAAATTAATTGGAAATATATGTATGATAAGAGTCGTACTCGAAATGAAAACGATCTACACCACAATCAATGTATTCAAGCTCGAGGAATGTTCTTTCAAAACGTAACTGAGTCCTCATTATGTCCTGAGGGGAAATCTTTAATGAATACCATCAGTGATTCACATAATTTTAGTTTTAATTACCCACTTACATTTTCTTCAGGCTTGCCGCGTAATCAGAACGGTTAATTCCTTCCTTCGAAGTAATTGAAGTCTTTCATTTCTATACTTGCGTCACCGATGCCTTCCCTCGATTCAGTTTCCCTTCACGTTTTCCACGCACGTCTGGCGACTTGTATTCTTCTTTCTCTGAACTCTCGCGGGTCCCTCGACCCGGGGACCGTTTCCACTACGCCACGTATATTATAGGAAAACGCATATCCGAAGCCATTCACGCACGAAAGGTCGTTGTCTCAGCTCGACGCGCATACAGCGTTTCGCCATCCCCCTTTTTCCCCTGCTTTCTTCAGGCTCTCTCGCGCAGCCTCCACTCCCGAAGATTACGTCAGACCTTGGTCTCGTCTGGCGACATTCGTGAAGATGTCCTTTCGCGCCTCCTTCGTGCTCCCTTGCCAAACCTAATCGCGCGGAAATATACAGTAGAAGAACAATTTGGTCCAGCCGTTGAATCAGTTTTATGGATTTAAAGACGAACGACGAGGGGGCGCTTAAAGTAACGAGATTAGGGCTGCGGTTGCTGCGAGTTGTAAAAGTCAATTTCACGTCGTTTACACGCACCTTGGTTCGCACGGTGATTGTCGGAAGACTCTTTTAGGAATTTTAATCGCGTCACTCGAGGGGAAAAGCGATACTGAAATGGAAATATACATGGGAAGATTGAAATTGGTACTGTGTTGCACTATACAAGGATCACGTGATGAAAACGTAGCGATAGGTTTCGAAAACGTTTGATTTTAATATAAGCAGAAACATCGACGACATATTCAATGAAAGTATTTTCGTATTCGAATCAGAATATTCAGGCGAATTAAAAATACGCCAGATGTGAATGGAATACGGAAATATGAATATAAATTTAATATGCGTATAAATATAGAAATTATTATTTCGTTGTGTTATTATTGAGTGATGTAAGAAATCCATACTGTCTCGTGTTTTGTGCAATTCGGTAGTTACGCACGAAAATGTTGGGGACTATAAAATGGACAACGCTTTGAATCGTCGCCTTCTAAAAAAAAAAGTTATATCGCCACGTTGGGTGTAAACGGTCTTTCTGCGCGAATAATTGCAGCAGGGGTAGGATTTCGTCAATCCACTGCGTCGCGGTTGTTAAAAAAATATAAAAGGCAGGGAAATTTTAATAGGGTCAAAGCGAGAAATTGAAGAGACGGTTTAACAGTACAACTGATCGGATTTTGTAAAGGATTTGTTTCAAAAATGAATTTCAATGATGTCGAAACCCGAGTGAGGTGGCTTCAGGTATGCGATATTCAATATTTTATTTTAATGAAATTCGTTTTACATTTGATTTTCAATTCGAGGTGAAGTCGTTTAGTAAAAGTCAGCTTTGCAACATCCAATGGACGGGTGACAATATAACGTTTAAATGCGATGGAAATTGTTGCGAAATAAATAATACAGGCAGTTACAAAAAAGAGAAAATTGAAATTAAAATATGAGAAACAATCAATTGTTTCGAGGAGGAATAATTAAAGATTGACATTTTTAGCGATATTTAGAATGATGTGAATAGTTATCACCACTATACTATGTTCGAGACACTTTTTCGATTCAGTAGAAAGTAAATTGTAAAATGTTCACGAAAACTTCGGTGTCTTTTTTTTTTAACTTCTTACTGAAATTCTAGTGAAAGATAAATTCTCATATTTAACGGAATTTTTCAGCATTTTGGAGTTGAAATTTTAATTACAAAAGGAAAATAAAGTGAAAAACCTTTGACCAGGAACAGATGTACGAAATTTACTGATATTTCGATATTCAGAGATAAATTCTCCTTTAATTTTCCGAGGTTTCGAGAACAAAAGCAGTGCACACGAATTGAACAGCAACTGACAAAATATTATGATAATTTGTTTGTGTCCGATGCCGACTGCAGCGTGCACGGTCGTGATATCAATCGAAAACTTTAACACTAATTTTCAAATTTAAATAAAATCGATTGTAAATT